GGGGGGGGGGGGGGGGAGCTTGGACAAGGAGCATAAAGAGTAAGTACAATTTGGTTTTTTTTTTTTTTTTTTTTGTCCTTTTTGAAACCGGCCGCACCGTGCTCAGCCAGTGAGCGCTGTGAGCGCACCGGTCATCCCTATATAGGATCTGAACCTGCGGCGGGAGCGCTGCTGCACTCCCAGCACTGCACTCTCCCGAGTGCGCCATGGGCTCGGCCCAAGAGTAAGTACAATTTGTAACAATACTTATGTAAGTAATATTGATTTGATCAATATATGTCAATGTTGAACCCCCAAAATATGTATAATCAATTATACTCAATAAAAAATTTTTTTAAAAAGTTGTGAACCAGAGTATTTGGCAGAAGAAATTTCTAAGCAGCAAAGCCTTGAGGAACCTGCATGGCCAACTGTAACAGCCTACACTGAGATATGGCAGCAAAGGCACAACATAAAACCAGAATTTAAAAGGGAAGCAGAGTGTAAAGATTTGGAAAATTTGCAACCTGGCCATGTGGTAGAGAAGCAATAACCATTTTCAGAATAAAAATGCAGTAGTGCTAAAATGATTAGTACAAAAGAAAGGGATTACCAAGAAAAGGGGAAAAAGGCCCTGAAGGCATTGCAGAAGCCTCTGGGGCCAACCCATCCATTTCAGGCCTAAAGGCCTAGGGAAACAGAATGGTCTTGGGGAATAGGCCTGATGTGCCCTCCATGGGCTTGCTGCCCAGAGCCACCTTGGGAAGCTGTTTCTAGCACCAGTACCCCAGCTGCTTTGGCTACTCCAGCTGTGGCTAAATTGCCCCCAGCTGTGGCTGGATGTGCAGCTTTGGAAAATACAAGCCAGAAGCCTTAGTGGCATCCACATGTTTTTGGGTCTGCAGGCTTGCAGAATGCCAGAGCTGTGAGGGCTTGGGAGCCTCCACCCTGATTTCAAAGGATGTATGGAAAAGTCTGGGGGCCCAGGAAGAGATCTGTTGCAGGGGCAGAGTCACCACAGACAGCCTTCGCTAGAGCAATGCCAAGCAGAAACATTGGGTCAGAGTTGCAGCAGAAAAACTCCATCAGTGCCATGCCTAGTGGAGCCGTGAGAGTGAGACAGCCATGAAGATCCCAGACCTGTGCACCTACCAGAGTGGAACACTAGCCTGTGAGAGCTGAAGTGTAGCCTGAAACCAGGAAAGCCATAGGATCAGAGCTACCCAAGAACTTGGGGACCCAACTCCCACACCAGCATGCAAAGGACATCAAATATGGAGTCAACGTACATGACTCGCCAGCTTTGAGATTTAATGCCTGCCCTGCTGGGTTTTGGACTTGCTTAGGACCTGTTTATACCTTTCTTTTGGCATATTTCTCCCTTTTGGAATGGGAATACATACCCTATGCTTGTCCCACCATCGTATCTTGGAAGTAGATAACTTGTTTTGATTTCAGAGATGGGACTTTGAACTTTGGACTTTTGAGTTGAAACATGTTAAGACTTTAGAGATGAAGTGGATGTATTTGTGTGTGAAAAGGACATGAATTTGCCGGGTCAGGGGCAGAATGCTGTAGACTGGGTGCCCGCCCCCCTCACCTCATTGAGGCTTAATCCCCACTGTTAGCTATTGACAGTGGGAAATCCTATTATGGTAACTGAAAGTTGGGGCCTTGAAGAGGTGATTGGATTGTAGGACTATGCTGTAGTGAATGGATTAATAACGGTGGTCAGGGGTGTGGTTGAGGGCTTTAAAAGGAGAGTACATGAGGAGCTATCTCTCTCTCTTCTCTCTCTGCTTCCACCATCTTACACTGTGAGACCCCTGGTTCACTGTTGCCACTACCAGATGGATTTTGAACTTCCCAGGCTCAGAAACTGTAAGCAATAAATTTCATTTTCTTTATAAATCACCCAGTTCCATGTATTTTGTTATAAGCAAAGGAAAAGGACCAAACTACAGAATTACAGAAAGTATAGAAAGTATCCTGAAAGCTTTGAAGATGAGCCAAGGAAACCTCTTTAGAATTTCGTGTTTTTTATTTTATTTTATTTTAGGCAGGTGGCCAGTACAGAGATCCAAATTCTTGACCTTGGTGTTATAGCTCCGTGCTATAACCGAGTTAGCCTGCCAGCCCTAGAACTTCATGTCAATGCTATGTTTTTACAAAGAATAAAAAATGGCTGGACACTCATTTGGAAATTCAATAAAGTAGAAGGAGGGAAATGTGCTTTTAGAGTGCAGGTGGTCCTTTTCTATCTATACCAACAATTTCTTAGGAACTCTGAACACTTAGCCATAAAGCAAAAGGCCAATAATGTCTCTAAATGATTGCAGACTAAAAAGTAACTTCAGGAGCTGGCCAGTTAGCTCAGTTGGTTAGAGCATGGTGTTAGAGCAAGGTCAAGGGTTTGGATCCCCATATCAGCCAGCCACTAAAAAAATAAAAATTAAAAAAAAAATAAAAAGTAACTTCTGACTAGAAGAGGTAGGCTAGGAAAATTAATCCCTAAAAGAAAGAAAAACGCACTTTCTCTGGCAGCTTGATCTGGATTCTTTTTTGACACAAAAGTTGGAAATTTGGAAATGGTAGATATCTCAATATTTTGTTATACTTTGATCCAGTTAGAGAAAAAAGTTTTCCTTCAACTTCTATCACTTTATGAAATACAGAACTATTTTGATAGCTTTGTCAGCATTTCCAAATTCTAATCAAATGTCCTCTAATACATAAAAAAATACTTTCTGAACCCCGGCACTCTTTCCCTGGAAGTGCTCTTAGCTTTCCAATCACCTGAGTTAGCAAACAAGTAGTGAAAGCAAGACTTACTTTCCATCACTTCTCTCAAGACCAGGCTATACAGGCTACAAATACTTCTGCAACAACAACGAAGAAATGAAACTCGCAGATGGAGAACTTTGGCTGACCTCAACACCACTCCACTCTGTCCCCAATTCAGAGGTGGCCACGGGGTCAGAGTTCATCCTACAACTTCTGGTGACAGAGGGAAGAGGAGGCCATCTTTTCCACTGCAATTGCTGCTGTAAGGGCTTACCACAGAGAGAGAGCCTACCTGAGAGTGGAGCCAAAAAAAGGAGTAGCGCTGTTGAGAAATGGAAAACTGCATCCACAAGACTTGAAACTTTCTCTTGTTCTGATGAGAGGGGAAAACATTTTCCAGGACCCACCACCCCAGCACACTTTCTTTTAGTGTCACTGGCCAGAACTGGGTTTCACACTGCCTCGCTGCCTTCACACCTCTCAAGCAATCATTGGCAAAGGAGAATAGAATTACCATGATGACAGAGACCAATCTTGACTTGGAGGAGCCCATCTTGAGCACACTGTGGCAGGACACCAGGTCAAAATAGGATTCTATTTTCAAGGAAGAAGGGGGAAACGATTCTTGGGTAGGCAACCGATAATGTCTGCTGTAAGTCCTAATGTAAGCATTGGTGTTCAGTTAGCAGCAGTTACCCAAACATTCAAGAGAGAGTAAATATCCTGACATTCCAAACCAAATTATAAGAACTATCAGTTTAATTTCCATGTGCATGATACCTAAATAGACACCAACTATAATTTTCATTCTTAAAAAAGTACGAAACTGTTGGCTCCTATCTATGGTCACACACAAAAAAAAAAAAAAGAAGAAAGAAAGAAATTATGAAACTGATCACAAAATTGTAAATTCCTTGGAGTGGTTTTTTAAGCCTTTACTGAATGCCCCAGAATAATGAGTCTTAGCTATGTAGGTATTTCCAACGTGCCTAATAGCAAAAAAGGAATGTTAATAAATGAGTCTTCCATTCTTAGAGCTATCTTGTTGTCTATGGTTGTTAGAATCTGCCAAGATTACAACTAAAGAATCTGCTAAATAGAGAACAGGAATTCTTTGAGCAAAACTGGTTTCCAACTCTACACTGAAGATCAATACTATCTAGGGCATGTTCCTTAAAATACAGTATCACCTGAAGGTTATAAGGCTTAAATGAGGTGGTAATGTAAAAGTTCATATGCCAGAATCTGGCACTTAGTAGTACTGTGAAGACTAGGGAAGATACAGGAGGGAAGGAGAGACCAGTGAATAGTCTGAATGTTCATTTCCACAGCTATATTTTGAAAGAATTGCTACTCCACTCAACAAGATCTACAAAGCAAAGAAAATGAAGTTATAAAACATCAGTGGTGATAAGGAAAAATTAAATATCAGTAGGCAAGCGGAAACTAGTACAAGTAACAATACAATAAACTGATAAAAGCTTTGGATGTTAGTAAAACTTTATTTTCTGTGCCTCAAAGCATCCCCACCCACGTTAGCCGTGAATTCAGTACTTAACTGAAAAGTCCCTGCTTCCTTCACTAACCACTTCAATGAACTTGCACATGCTTTCACATCTGTTATTACACTGATTCATTCACTCCAACTAGAAGCTAATTATCTTAACAGTTGCCACAGGAAACAAAAGAGAGACATCTAAGTGGGATAAAATGAAATGCTTTCTGAAGACTTTATGTCTGACTTTGATACTGAGTCATTTCTCTTTCGTAAACTGTAAAGTCAGAGTATCCTTCTAGTTGTAAAATTTGACAAGTCTATGAATTAAGTGTCAATTACCTGCCTTAGTTGAGTGGATATCAGCTAGCCTAGCAGCAGAGGTCAATATGCCCCAAAGGCAGTTCTACAAGAAGTAGAAGGCCCTAGGAAGGGCCTTTGAGCTGTATCCATTGAGCTGTATCCATGAGCTTCATCCATGATGTTCAGAAGGTCACCACCCTTCTCTGAGCTGTAAAAGGGATCATAACACCCTTATGGAGCTTCTACATGATGTTCAGAAGGTCACCACCCTTCTCTGAGCTGTAAAAGGGATCATAACACCCTTATGGCAGGTTGCAGTGAGGATTAAATGAGATCAGGTATGTAATGCACCTCTTATGGTTCCTGGCACTAAGGAGGCACTCAAAAAATGGTAGTTATTGTTACTGCTTCTATCATAGGATCACCAATAAGCACTTACCTAAAGAAACGACAGCAACACTCTCTGGCAAGAAATGTAATCTGTATCGGATCAGTAAATGCACCAATATGATGCAAATAGCTGTGGGAAAAAAATAAGACATTGTTAAAAAAGCCTGATTTTGAATGATAAACACCAAGTTCAATGCAGTGGTTACTTCTAGGGGGCTGTCAGAAAAATGGACAATTTGGGCCGGCCCGTGGCTCACTTGGGAGAGTGTGGTGCTGATAACACCAAGACCCCGGGTTCGGATCTCATATAGGGATGGCCGGTTTGCTCACTGGCTGAGCGTGGTGCTGACAACACCAAGTCAAGGGTTAAGATCCCCTTACCGGTCATCTTTTAAAAAAAAAAAAAGAAAAATGGACAATTGGCAATGACACAGTGAACTTCATTTGTATTTTTAATTTTTTATTTCTTAACCTGAAGGTAGATTTATAGTGTTTATTATATCTTCTCTATACTTCTTTTTATGCCTGAATTAGTTCATTTTCCAGTTATGCTGGAAGAGCAACAGAAATCTACTATTTTTCATAAGCTGTTAAACCTTATACAACCATTTAAAATTATTCAAATTTCTTGATTTGGAGAAATGGTCCTCAACTCTTTTGAAGTAATCATCAACTGGAAAACTCTAAATGGTGAGGAGGAAGTCAATAAAAGTAATCACTTTTACATAAATATAATTGCAAAACAAATTATGCCGACATGAAATATTTTGACACCATGTGACTGACTCTCTTTTAATATAGAAAAAAGCAAGGGTGTTTTACAAACAGGAAAAAGTGAATACTATGATTTGGTGACAAGAGCATCAAGAAGATCTGAAATGGGACACTCCTGCTCCCCGGTTAGTACGGCTGGGTACTGCCATTCCCCTTGCTTGAGGGCTTCCCATGAGCCAGGAACTATGCTGAACACTTCCCATATACTGACTCATTTAACCCCCCAATTCCCCTCTGAACTAGCTGTTATTACCATTATCTCCTTTGATTACAGATGAGAAAACTGAGGCTTTACAGACGTCGCACCACCGGTAGGTGCTGCAGTGTTGAGTCTGATTCCAACCCTGTGCTCCTAACCATGGTTCACACACCCCACCACCTCGCTCCCAGCTGGCTGCCTTCAATCCTCAAACTCCAAAACAGGAATAATGGCTGACTTTCCTCACAGAGGTGTTGTTACAGAAGAAAAGAAGAGGATGTAAAACTATTTGAAAGGAGTGTTTCTGGACAAAAAAAAAAAAAAATGAGCATACTCTCACATAAACCTTTCCTGAATATAATTTCACAGTCCAAATGTCAGAGTACATGTCTCTTTTTTTTTTTTATTAGGCATGTAGGTGGTATACCATTTCATCAATCACAGTATTATTTTAGTAGTACTAAAAATAATTTTGTCGTATTTTTTTAAAAGAAATGTTTAAACAATCTGCATGGCTGTTAAATGGCCACCATCACAGCTCACAAAGATAAATTAGATTTCGTCAATGCCACCAAAAAGAACCAGGTGGCCAGAAAAAGGAAACAGTTGTAAATATAGAAATTTTGTCCTCCTTTCATTCTGTGCTTTAAACTATCAATCTGTGGTGTTATTTTAATATAAATATTTAATCCCGTTAGAAAGATCCTACATTAAATACTAGGAGCAAGAAAAAACTCTGGGCTGGCTGGTTAGAGCTTGGTGCTAACACCACCAAAGTCCAGGGGTCAATTGCTATACTGGCCAGAAACCAAAACATAAAAGAAGAAAAAGAAAAGTTCCAATGCACAAGCACAATATGTGACCAATGAGCATGCCTACTGTCAGGAAACAAAACAAACAAACAAAAAGGTACATTAGCATACAAGTAGACAGAAAATAGATCTAGGGAGTTGAGTTAGTTTCTGCTCTTCCCTTGTGCCATGCTGGATTTTAAAAAATTAATTTAAAGTGGGACTTCCAGGAAGATAGCAGACTAGAGTTGCTCAGGGTGCGTTCCTCCTGCAGAAGAAGATTGAAATGCGCCCACTGCCACTGCAGTCACCAGAGCCACTGTCTGGTCCCAGAACCATTGCCCATCACAGAGCAGCTCCCCATAGAGCAGCAGTCCTGCAGGTGGCCGATCGCTGCAGCAGTGGACTGCACAGGCGCGAGAGAGGCAGCTGCAAACACCACATCATTGCTGCTGCCACGAGTTAACCTTGCTGCTGCCAAGGACGTTGCAGACACAAGTGAGGCAATTGCAGACACTGCTGATGCTGCCACCCCATTGCTGCCAAGGATACCACTGATGCAAGGGAGCCAGTTGCCACCACCAGCGACACTGCCATGGCCACAACATAACCCCACTGTTGCCAAGGACACTGCAGACGTGAGGGAGGCAGCCACCACCACTTCGGCTACCCCTATGAGGTAACCCCTCTGCCACTACAGACACCGCAGACACGACAGAGGCTACTGCAACCATCAGTGCCACTGCTACCCCGACAAGGTAATCCTGCTGCCACTGTGGAGACCACAGATGTAAGAAAGGCAGGTATGGCCGCTAGCACTGCTGCTGCTGCCCCCATGAGGTAACCCCACTGCCGCTGTGGACACCACAGATGCAAGGGAGGCAGTTGCAGGTGCTGGTTCTGCTGCCACTCCCATGAGGTAACTGTGCTGCCACCAAAGACATGACAGACACCAGGGAGGCAGTTGCAGCCGCCGTAAGATAACCCCACTGCTGCTGTGGACACCATAGCTGCATGAGCCACTACTGTGAACACCGTAGCCAAGCAGGGAGCTTGTCCAACTGCCACCACCACCACCACCAGGCAGCCACCATTGTTGTGTGAGCAGCCACCATCATTGTGTGAGCAGCCACCACCGTTGTGTAAGCAGCCACCACCACTGGAGCCACCACTGCCATGTCGGCAGCATACCAAAGCCACCACCACCACAAGGGCGGCCTACTACCACAGCAACAGCCACAGCACCCGCTGCCACTGAAGCAGCAGGTGGATCGCTGACTACTCAATTGAATTGACATAAGGAAGGTCACTAGCAGAGTCCAGGGAAGGAGAGTAATAGAAGAAGTAACTGCTCTACCTGATGACCAGACATTAATGTAGAGATACGAAAAATATGAAAAATCAAGAAAATCTGAGTCCACAAAAGGTATATAATAACTTTCAAGAACCAGACCCCACAGAGCAGGAAACCCTTAAAATGACTGAAAAGGAATTCCAAGTAAAAATCATAAAGAAACTCAAGGTTTATAAGAAGACACAGTTAGACAACACAATGAACTAAGCAATGCTATTCAGGATATGAAGGAGGAAATCTACAAAGATTAATACTTTAAAAAAGAATGTACCAGAACTCATGGAACTGAAGGAGTCATTCAATGAAATAAAAAACACAACTGAGAGATTAAGCAGCAGGCTACAGCAAGGAGGTGAAAGAGCTCTACAACAAGAACTACAAATCACTGTTGAAAGAAATTGAAGAGGACACAAAAAGATGGAAAAACATTCCATGTTCTAGGATTGGAAGAACTAACATTGTGGAACTGTCCATACTATCCAAAGCGATCTATAGATTTGATGCACTCCCCATCAAAACACCAATGACAGCCTTCAAAGAAATAGAAAAAGACAATCCTAACATTCATATGGAACAACAAAAGACCCCGAATAGCCAAAGCAATCCTGAGCAAAAAAAAATAAAGCTGGAGGCATAATACTACCTGACTTCAGATTATACTACAAAGCTACAATAACCAAAACAGCATGGTACTAGCATAAAAACAGGCACATGGACCAATGGAACAGAACAGAGAACCCAAAAAAAACCCCACAAACTTTTACAGCCATCTGATCATTGACAAAGTCACCAAGAACACACATTAGGGAAAAGACTGCCTCTTCAATAAATGGTGCTGGGAAAACTGAACATCCACATGTAGAAAAATAAAACTAGACTCATACCTCTCGCCGTATACCAATATCAACTCAAAATGGATTAAAAACTTAAATATAGGACCCAAAACTATAAAACTCATAAAAGAAAACATAGGGGAAACACTTCAGGAGGTAGGACTGGGCAAAGACTTTACAAATATGACCCCCAAAGTATAGGTAACAAAAGGAAAATTAAACTAATGGGATTATATCAAACTAAAAAGCTTCTGAACAGCAAAAGAAACAACTAACAGAGTAAAAAGAGAATCTACAGAGTGGGAGAAAATATGTGCAAACTATGCATCCAACAAAGGATTAATACCCAGAATATACAAGGAACTGAAACAACTTAAAAGCAACAAGACAAATAGCCCAATTAAAAAATGGGCAAAAGAGCTGAATAGGCATTTCTCAAAGGAAGATATACAAATGGCCAACAGATACATGGAAAAATGGTCAACATCACTCAGCATCAGTGAAATGCAAATCAAAACCACAATGAGATATCATCTCACCCCAGTCAGACTGGCTATTATCAAAAAAGACAGAGAATAATAAATGCTGGTAGAGAAAGGGGAACCCTCCTACACTGTTGGTGGGACTGTAAATTGGTGCAGCTATTATGGAAAACTATATGGATATTCCTGAAACAACTACAGATAGAACTGCCATACAATCCAGCAATTCCACTGCTGGGTATATACCCAAAGGAATGGAAATCATCATGTCAAAGGGATACCTGCACTCCCATGTTTATCGCAGCTCTACTTACAACAGCCAAAAATTGGAACCAACCCAAATGTCCATCATCAGACAACTGGGTAAGGAAAATGTGGTATATTTACACAACAAAATACTACTCTACCATAAAAAATGATGAAATACTGCCATTCGCAGCAACATGATGAACTTAGAGAAAATCATGTTAAGTGAAATAAGCCAGGCAGAGAAAGAGAAATACTGCATGTCTTTACTCTTAAGTGATAGCTAAGAAATAAACAAATAAATTTTAAAAAGAAGAGAAAGACACAACAATCACAAAAATACACTGAACTTTCAAAAGGAGAACAGAACTGAGGTTACCAGAGTTGAAAAATGGGAAAGGGAGAGGGGGTAAAGGGCCACAAAAAGCACTGTATGTTACATTGTATACTG